TGTCACCACGACCAGACCCCACAACATCACCAGGAGATCACCAGCATTGTGCCCATTTATTCCATCACACGTGAGTGCAGAATATTGCTTTTTCATTCCCACTTCCATTCACCCTGATTTATAGTTACTTCCTGGTTATTTTCCATCCACAAAGCCTGCGCCGGTCAGTTGCGCTCCTTTCCTTTCTTCTTTATGGACTTTATAATGGAGCTTCCCCCTTCTAAAGTTTTTACTGGAATCTTTGTGGTGGTGGATTGCCTTTCCAAGATGGCTCATTTTCTGCCAATATGTGGAACTCTATCTGCAGCGGAGACAGCACAGATATTCATTAAGGAAATCAGACTTTGTGGTCTGCCAGACATCATTATCTCGGATCGTGGGGTTCAATGCACTTTCAACGTTTTGGAGATCTTTATGTCAGGAATTGGGTATTCAGTTGTGTCGCTCGTCTGCTTACCACCCACAGACTAACGGCCAGATGGAAAGAACCAAACATTGGAACAGTATGTCCATTGCTTTTCATCCTTCTCTCAAGATAACCGAGTCACCCTGCTTCCAATGGCCGAATTCTCCTAGAGCAACTCTGTTCATTCTACTACACACCAATCATAATTTTTCGCTAATTATTGGTATCATCCAGTCTTTTTGCCATTAACCTTTTTGATTCTCCATTGCCTGCAGTACAAGACAGGTTGAATTTTTTTTTCTTCCAATAATCAACTGCTTAGAGAAGCGATGTCCAAGGCTCAAAGTGACAAGAAAGTATTTCATAAAAAAAAAAGGGGAGAATTAGATCTCAAGCCTGGGGATCTTGTTTGGCTATCCACGGCTAATCTGAAATTGGCATGTCCTCCTAAGAAGTTGGGCCCTAAGTTCATTGGGCCTTTTCCAGTGGAAAAGAATATCAACACAGTGGCTTATAAATTAAAACTTCCTCTTCTTTACAAGATCCATCTGTGTTTCATGTCTCTCTTCTGAAGCCTGATGTTCACAATCGGTTTCGTGATGTCAGGGTATTTCTATAGAAAATTACAAAAACTGATGAACTTTGATTTTTACACAAACGAAATCAAACTTCTCTACTGGTGCACTCTGTAAGACAAAGGGCCAGAAATCTTGGCTGGACAGATAAATTAATTAACCAAAATAGAATAAGCTATTGCGTACAAATTAGGCAATGAACAAACATACAGGAGAACCTTGAACCAGCTTTTGTACAACCAAACTGATTCAAAGAGGTAAACATAGCAAATTAAGTCCAAGGCTTGGATAATCATAAAACCACAATTGACAATACTGAGATAATCTCACCTTCAAGGTCAATAATTAAATGTGTTTAATCAAGAAATACCCAGGTACCCGTGCCCGGGTACTTCAAACCTTTCCCCACCCCTCCAACCTTCCTAGTTCGTATCCCACCCCAGCACCG